TGACCTGCTCCATAATGCTCTGGGCCCCCAGGGCAAGAGGAGGGAGGGTGGAGAGTGGGAGAGGAAGAAGGAATGATGAGCAGAGGCCAGTCACTGGGCCTCAGGAGCAGGGCACCCCAGCCCTGATGAGAAGCCTCCAGCATCTGGGGGAGCCCACCTGGAAAACTGGGATCACCCAGAATCCTGCGGGGGCCTCAGAGGCCATCTCTTAGGGCCCTATTCCAGGGCAGGGTGTCCCTGGCCAGCTCCTGCTCACACATCTATGCTGGCAGGACCTCGCTCTCAGGACGATGCAACTGAAGGGTGTCCCTGGCCAGCTCCTGCTCACACATCTATGCTGGCACACCTCGCTCTCAGGACGAGAGGTCCTGCCAGCATAGATGTGTGAGCAGGAGCTGGCCAGGGACACCCTGCCCTGGAATAGGGCCCTAAGAGATGGCCTCTGAGGCCCCTGCAGGATTCTCCTCTCACTGGGTTGAAGCCTGCGAGTCAGTCACAGCTCCCAGCTCAACCCACTCTGAGTCCAGGCCTCACTGGGCCGGACACATGGACTGCCCACAGTCACCTCAGGGGCAAGGGCAGATCTTGCCCTCCTCAAAGAAGAACCCACCGGGAGCAAGGCTGCTCCAGGCCATGGCCAGCGGGAGAGCACTCTGGGTCATGGAAACGACCCTGGGCTTGGACTTGGACTTGGGTCTTGGTTCAAATCCCTGCAGCCCCTCTGCTTCCCTTGCTATTTAAAACTCTGGCCTCAGTGTTCTTATCAAAGGAGGTGATTATTTTCTACCACGCAGATGGACGACTATAAGGCTTACACGTGAAAGAGCCCTGTGCATACAGTAGGTGCTCTATAAATGCCTTGGGAGACTGCAGCACCCCCTCTGGAGTGAAGCAGGAAGTCTGAGAGAAACGAGAGGGAGACAGATGAGAGACAGAGACAGAGAGGCAGAGACAGCAAGACAGAGAAATAGAGACAGCGAGGTAGACAGATACTCCTCACTCTCAGGCCAGGCGGCTCCTGGGGCTGGCTGCTCCCAGCTACACCACGCTGGGCCCTGTCCTGCCTCGCCAATGTTTGCAAGTTGGAGGCTCCTGCTGAGTACCAGCTCAGCAGGCCTGTCACTCACTGGGTGACTGTGGACGAACCCCTCCCCGGGAGCCTTAGGTTGGGGCTGGGGTGACTGCCAGCCTCCAGAGAGCCCCCACGCCCCTGCCCGCAGCTCAGCCCGGCCTAGCCCCCTGCCTTCCTTCCAGAACATGCTCCGGCCATGCTCACCCTCCGTCCTCCAGAGCTGGCCCGACCTTCACATCCCAGGCCCGGGCTGCACATGCGCTCACCTTGTAGATGGCCATGGTGGACCTGTAGAACTGGTCCATCTCGGGGGCCATGGAGCAGGCTGCACCTCGTTGCTTATCAGGAGGCTGGTGGTGCTCGTGGGGCTGGGAGCACTTGGGTAGGTACGCTCTGGTGCCCACTGCTCAGCGGGCAGGTGAAGGAGGCTGCAGAGTGGAACCTGGAGATGGAGGGCCGGCCAAGGAGGAGGTGGCGGCTTAATTATTCACCAGCCAGGGATGTCAGAATGCGATCTGGGGCGTAACCAGACCCAGGGGGAAGGCATCCTGTGACGCGGGTAGGTTCATGTGACCTGCCCTTCAATTATTTACCCCTCTGAGCTGAGGACCAGTGGGCACTCGTGGATGAGCCACTCTCTGACGTCACCTCCCCCTCGAGGACAGCTTCCCCAGGCCAGCTGGGACCCTTGGTGGACCCCTGCCCTCCGCCTGTGGGTACCGTCCATCCGACCGAGCTAGAACTGCTCAGCACCTTCCTCCAGGACCCTCCCTGACAGACCCAGCCCCTGGAGGCTGAACGTAGCCGTGTGTTCTCACTGCTGTCAGGTCTCTACCCTGAGCCCCTCAGACCTGCATCTCCAGGGCCAAGCCTCCCACGTCCGCTGCTGCCCTCCCAGCAACTCTGCATGCTGGAGAGGGGACAGCACAAACCCTAATGTGGCACAGACCTGGGGGCAAACCTTGGCCCTCCTCACTGGCTGTGACCAGCCGGTGCCCCTGCCCTCTCTGGGTCTCATCCCCTCCCCGAGCAAGTAAGCCTCTCCCTTGCCTCCCAGCATGGGACAGGTAGGCCTGGCTGCCGCCTCTGAACACTCTCACCAGCCTGATTCGGGGACCCCGGGAAAGAGCGGCCACATGAGTAGGCATAGGAAGATGACAGTCAGGCTGAAAGTCATGGCTGCGGGGAGCTGGCGGGTGGGAAGACAAGGGACACTCACACCACAGTACACACAACACAGCAGAAATGGAATCAAACCATTTATTTCACAGCTTAGGGCAGCCCCAGACCACTTACAAACCACTGCCTGTTGGGAAGAGAAACTCAAGTCACAGGAGCAACCTTTGAGAGCCGAGGCGAGCTCACAGGGTGGGGCAGCGCTCAGGGGCGCAGGTGGCTCGGTGTGTGCTGAGGGGCAAAGTCGAATGGAGAACCCCATTCCCAGAGCACAGGCTTCCCTGCTGATGGGGTAGGCGATGGCCAGTTTCTCTAGTCCAGCTCCCAGGGAAGAGGGCAGAGAGTGGAAGGGACAGCTGCACCCCCAGGGGCCCTGGAAGAGCCTAAGGCCCTCTGGGAGGCCGGAGTTGGGGGCACACACAGGCACCCTTAGTGTGTGAGCTGATGGGGGTGGGGCGGGGCACGGAGTCAACGTTCTTGGCTGTCAGGGAGAGGGCCCCAGTGAGGCTCTAGGCTTTCTAAGCCTGGAATGACATAAAGTGCCAGAAGACTGGGACAGAGGGAGCGAGAGGCCTTCGGCACCAGCCTCAGGCAGGAAGCCCAGCACCTTCTGCGGCCCGGTCTGTGGACAGAGCTGCCTGGGCCTGGCTCCGCCCAGCGGAGCGGTGCTTGGGCCTGGCCCACCTCCGCAGCAGGGTTGGGTGAGGGTAGGATGGGGGTGGCTGGGGGCCTGGCAGCCTTACGGCGAGAGCAGCAGCTGGATGAGCTTCTGGAACTGCTCCCGGTGCTCGTAGATGTAGACCTCGGTCTCCCAAAGGGCGTTGACCAGCACTGTGTCACTGACCTCGTCCAGCATGATGTCTGTCCCCAGCTGGGGGTTCAATCTGTCCAAGTCAAGGAGGAGTCACCCCAGGACTCTTGGCCTGGGTAGGGGACAAGTGCTACAATTTGGGAAAGGGGAAGTCCATGCCAAGGACGGGCTGGGAAGGTCACTAGGTCTGGCCAGGCCAAGAAGTGGGGCTGGGGGCCAGGGCCGGCCGAGCCCTCACCTGAAGTACTGGATGCCGACCATCTCGCACCAGGCCCGGGCCCGGTCCACGGCCCGCCCATCCGGATCTGTGCACTGGCGAGAAGCAGCCTCTGTAAGTACCCAGCACACGCCACACCCACAGTCCCTACCTGAGGAGCCCCAGGTTCCAGTCTGGCTCAGCCACCTATCAGCAGAGCGACTTTAGGCAAGTTCCCTTCCCTGGGCTGCAGTGACTGTCCAGCTGTGCAATCAGGGGGCACGGTCTATGGTTTACACGGAGGCTCAGCAGCTCCCGTTCAAGGCCAATGTGTGTGTGTTGGGGTTGGACAGACCTCTGCATCCCCACCCCTTGCAGTTTTCGTTCATCTGATAGGCTGGGCTTCCGCACGGGGCTGTTTGAAGGAAGGGATCCACAACTAAAAAAGATGCTTGAAAACCCCTGCTACAGGTGGTCACTGAGGGTCCCTGCCAGGACTGAGACTCTGAATCAGGGAACTGGCTAAAGAGGGTCAACAAAGTGTCCCTGACACCCAGGGTACCACGAAAGGCGGTGAAGGCGTCATCCAGGGGCTGAGGCCCCGAGGGGAGTGGGCCCAGGGAGGATCATACTCACACAGTCCACCACCATCTTGCCCAGTTCCTTGGCCCCAAAAACAGTCTTAGCCAGTTCCCAGGGGTTGCTGGGACGGAAGACATCCACGCAGGTCACAGGCACCTGCGGGGACCTCCCTGTCCCCAGAGAGACAACGATGGAGAGTTTCTTCACCTTGTTGCTCTGACCCTGTTGGAGACAGGCAGGGGTGGTCAGGGGAGACCTTCCCCCAGTGGACCTTTCCAAGGGTGAGGGGCGCCCCGTGGTGAGAGAGGGGCCAGTGCTGGGGGCCTGGGGACGCACGAGGATGGAGGATGGGCCTCCAGTGGCGGCACAGCTTGTGCTGCCTCCTCCTTTGCTCCGGAACAAGCTCGCTGCCAATCTGCTGGGCGACCTTGGTGAGTCACTCCTACTCACCTGTGTCATAGAAGGACCCTTCCCCATCCCAGTCTCGGAATCCCTCCTCCTCCAGGGAGCCCGCCCTGCCCTGTTTGGCCCCTAGAGGGCGCTCGTCGCTCTGACGGCCCCTGCCTAGCGCCACGCATCCAGGACTTAGTGATGGCCGCAGTGACAACCACAGCCAGCAAGGACATGGCACATGGGGTCAGGCACTGTCCTAAACACTTTACAGACAGGAGCACGTGGGAGCTTCCTGACGATCCCCAGGCCAGTTCTATCAGGAACACCGTTCAGTGGCTGAAGGGAAGCGTGGCCAGAGCCAGGGCCCAAAACCAGAGGTTGTGTGACCCCAGGGCCTGAGCTCAGGCCACTGCACCGCGCTGCCCCTGCTGGCACGTGTGGGCCTCGCCACCTCTGCGCCAAGCTCCTCGGGCTGAGGGCCACTTCTCCTCCTCCAGATCACTGACTCTGCACTGCCCTGTCCCCGAAGGGCTCAGGGTGGGGTCCCCTCCTCTGCTCGCCTTTTCCTAGCTCCCAGGTCTCCCAGCAGAGGTGAGGCCCCTCCTGGGCGCCAGCACAGTCCTCTACTGCAGCGCCCGAAACACTAGGAAAGGCGAGCCTTTGTTCACGCACTGTCTCCCCTGGATGGGACCAACTTAAGGGCAAGTGTGTGTCCCCCAGCTAGGCAGTGGCTAGGACGAGGAGTGGCATGTACTGGGACACATGCGGCCCTCCCCACGAACAGCAGACACTACCTGATTGTAACGTTCTGCACCACTTAGTCCGGACTGGGCCTCAGAACCCCTCCTAGCACAGTGCTTCAGGCAGACGCCACCAATGAGCAGGTTCAAGTGCAAGATACAACTGCTCTGAGTGCCCAGATCAATGAACGCATGAATAAAAGTCAATTGCTCTCCTAGGAGTCAGTCCTTAGTTAAAGTTTGCTGGAACGGGGTGGCTGCAGTGGGCGGTCATGTCAGGCCCCTCCGACCTGAGTGGCTCTCACCTTGCGGATCATGTCCTGGTTGTACTCATGGATCTCAGTCATGGCGTCCAGCGTGGGGTTGTTGGCCAGCAGCCCGCCATCCAGGAAACGCCCATTAGGCCGGAAGTAGGTGGGGGCTGCCCCACTGCTCCGGGCTGCCCGCCACACCAGCTGCTCTGGGGTTGGGGAGGAAGGTGGCCTAGTGGGACTGGTGTAAAACCCACATGCATCAGATCTTGGTGGTGTGCGTGTGTGTGTATACAGGGCTGCAGGAAGAGGTAAAGGCTGGGGACCCTTCAGGAGCAGGCTTGACGTCTGGCCCTGCCATCCTTGTGGAAGGCAGGGTGCAGCTGCGGGGCCTCCAGGAGCCTCCTCTAGCCTGCCCGAGGCCTGACAGCTCCCCAGCTCTGCCTGCTGCCAGCCTGTAAGGACTCGGGGCAGCGGGTGGGAGGGTGCTGGGCTGGGGGTTTCCAGCAGCAAGCCTGCAACTCCCACCCACCACCCTGCCACCTCACAGGCCAATTGTTTCCCACAGATGCATCAAATGTGGTTGTAACCTGAGGGCTGAGTTAGAGGCTTTAGGTTAATATTCTGGTTGAAACGAGGCTCCCGTACAGTCTCTGGAGCATCGTAATTCCGGAAGAGGTGAAGTTCAGCGGGCTGCCGGTCAGACAGTGTCCCTGTCAGCATCACCCTGGAAAGAAACGAGGAGGAGGACACCTGAAGTCACTGACCCATCCGCCCTTGGCAATCTGCTTCTGGGAATTCACCCTAAGATGCTTTCACACGTGTGCAGAGGGGCGCACATAAGGCTACTAACAGCAGCGTCGGCTGTTGAAGCAAAAGACTGGCAACAACTGAACTGTCCATCAGCGGGTCAGTTCCCCGCCCCACGGTTCCCTCGCCCAGTGTCACTGCAGAAGGACTAAGGAGTGCTTTATATACTGATAGGCGCTGAGCACCAAGATTTATGGTCAACTGGAAAGACAAGGGTCAGGATAGTGTGTGCAGTATGCCACCATTTATTTAAAAACAACCCCCCCCCAAAACCTATGTACCTATTTGCTTAGTCAGAGGCAATTCTGAAAGGGCCCATGAGCAGCACCCGGCAACACTGAGCTGTCTCTGGGGCAGGGGACTGCTTGGTGGCTGTATCTCTGGGACAAGAGTGGAAGGAGACTTCACTGTGTCACCTTTGATACCTCGTCAATGTTCTACCTGCCATGAGAGTCTATAGTCTATTAAAGAAGATTTGTCTTGATTGACGCAGACATTCGTAAATACTCCGGGGTAGACAGACTGGCACAGCCCCCTTGGAAACTAATATGTATTAAAAACCTTACCAACGTCCTGGCTCTTTGGTCTGGGAATTCCATTTTGGAAAATCTATCCTAAAGGAATAACCTTAGTTATAATGAAAACTACTTTGTATAAGGCTAATCACACAGTGTAATTTATTTATTTTTAAATTAAATTAAATTTTTTTTAACGCCTACAACATCTCGTCTTCCTAGGTAGTCAGTCGCCCATCCAAGTCCTAACCAGGCCTGACCCTGCTTAGCTTCCACGATCAGATGAGATTGGGTGCATTCCGGGTGGCATGGCTACAGACTACAGTGTAATTTATTATAGTGAAACATGAACTGATCTAAATGGCAACGTCAGAAGGGAGTAAGTACACAAGGAAGTGTTTTACAGCCATTCGAAATCATTCTTGCAAGGAGTTCAGAGTAACAAAAATATAATTGTTATGTTGTAAAGATAGATATAAAGGAAAGGAAACAAAAAACTCTGCTAGAGAAAAACAAAAACAAACAAACAAACAAACAAAAACGTTAGTTTTCCATTCCTGGAAATACTGTGAGAAGGTGAATTGAACAATCTTCCCACTGAACAAAAAATAAAGTGCTGGAAAAAAATTTTTTAAAAAAAATCTACCTAGAAGCATAGAAGACCTGACAAGATAGAAAGGGAATACCAGGCTAAATTCTGAGGATAAGGAAGAACCCAGAGAGGTAAGTGTCGCACAGACTCAGCTTTGACCTGAAGATAGATGCTAAACTCAGTAAATTTGAACTTCAGTGTTGATGGCCTCATGGGGCCAGCGGGCCAAAGTCAAAGCCCAGGGACCACCAAAGGTTAGGGGTCTAATGAGAAATTCTCCCTCTTTTAGGTTGGGACCCCAAAGGGCTACACTCTTGGGTAAGGTGAACTAGAAATAAACCCGCCAGTAGACACTCTATAGGAAAGTCAAAAGAACGTACTTAGGCAGAAGCAAAGTGGTCAGAGATGGAAGTCTGAGATGCAGAAAAGAATGTATGTACATATAAATATACATACAGATATGTATAAGCATAAACATATACATACACACACATACATACCCAATGGTGTGCCGGAGGGAGCTCGCATTGTTCTCATGAGAACCTATTGTTAAATCTCGCAAGCTGGTTGCTAAACTGTTAGTAGTTTGAAATCGGCCATGATGGGAGTATTTATGCCATGGGAATTGGCAAAGACTACAATTCAGGACTTTCCTCTCCACAGATCTAGTTTACCAGCACACTGCTAAATAAAATCTAAATGAACATCAATCTTGAAAAATAATAATAGCATCTTGTGAGACTTAAAAAAAACAAGATAGATTTAAAATACAGAAGATCAATGACAGATAGGGTTTATAGAATTGCTTAAATCAATTAATTAAATCAGGAACGTGGATGCAAAATCCTAAACAAAATATTAGCAAACTTAATCCATTAGAATTCTCTCTATAAAAGGTACCAGGAATTGAAAGCAGTGACTTGAACAGGTACTTGTACACCCATGTGCATAGCAGCATTATTCATAATAGTTAATAGGAGGAAACAACTCAAATGTTTGTCAACAGATAAATGGATAAACGAAATGTGTTATAGACGTGCAATGGAATATTATTCAGTCTTAAAAAGGAACGGAATTCAGATACATGCTACAGCACGGATGAACCTTGAGGACATTGTGCTAAGTGAACTACGCCAATCACAAAAAGACAAACACTGTATGATTCCACTTACATGAGGTACTTAGAGTAGTCAAACTCACAGAACATAAAGTAGAATGGCAGCTGCCAGGTGCTGGAGGAGAGGGACATGGATAGTTCTTTAATGGGTATAGAGTGTCAGTTTTACAAGATGAAAAAGTTCAGGAGATTAGTTACATGATAATGTAAATATACTTAACGCTACTGAACTATATACTTAAAAATGATTAAGATGGTAACTTTTATATGTATTTTACCACAATTAAAACTTTTTTTAAAAAATGGTATTTCTAAATACCAGCTACGGTTAGAAAATGAAATGTTTAAAAATGAATAATTTGCAATAGCACAAAACATAAGCAAGACCTATGAATAAAAAGAGCACACGTGTAAGATCTCGCAAGATAAAATTATAAAACTGTACTGAGAAACTTTATACAATGCTCTCTAATTGGAAGACTCGGTGTTTTCAGATGTCAGTTCTCCCCCAGATAAGCTCACAGATTCAGTGTTGGATCTCCCTGATACAAACCTCAATCAAATCCAAAAGGATTTGATTCTGTAGAATTTGGCAATCTGATCCTACAATTTATATGGAAACACAAATAGCAACAAATAACCTTTATATAGTACTTCCAATGTGCCAAGTGCTTTTTAAGTGCTTTATAAATATTAACATTTTTACTCCTCACGAAAACTCCAGAAAGCACGTAGTACAGTATTCTCGTTTTCCAGAAAAGGAAACTTTAGGGTGCATGATCTTAACCACTTTGCTACAGTGCCTCCAAGAATAGCCACGACTCTCGAAGATGAAGGTAAAGGTGGGAGGCCCTGCTGCCCCGAATATCAGGACTTAGTAAAACACTGCAGAATGAGAGCTCTGGGGTCTGGGCACAGGCACAGACATCATCCAGCCAATGGAGCAGAACACAGCCAGAAACAGATGTGAGCAAGGACCCTTGACCCACTGCCAAGGAGGCAAGGCCTGCAGACATGGAGGAGAAAACAGACTCTGCACAGATGAGGCTGGGGAAACTGGTTATTCACATGGAAAGATGAAGTTCCCCAATACACAGATCAATTCCAGGTTGATTAAAGACCTAAACATAAAAGGTACCTCTAGGGAGCTTTCCCACCTAACACAGCGGGCTGCTTCCTCCCTCCAGTTAAGGAAGGGTTCTTAAATGAGAAATAAAAAGCACAAACTCTAAAATATTTATAAATTCTACTACATTAAGAACACCCATTCCCCAACACAACACCGTAAAGAGCGTGAAAAGACAAGCCATGGAGTGGGCGAAAAGATTTCTATATATCCATCAAAGGACTAGTTTTCAAAGAATAAAGACGATCATGAAGGAATCTCATAATCCAAAAATCACACGACCCAATTTTGCCAAAAATAGGCATAACACTTGAACAGGAACTCTATAAACGAAGATCCAAATGACCTTTAAACCTATGAAAAGCTGTTCAACCTCCCCAGTCATCACGGAACGAAAATGCAAACCGCAGACACCACCTTATAACCCCCACCCCGCCCCCAGATTTGTAAAGATAAAAACGTTTGACAATAAGCAAACGTTAGCAAGAATGCAGAGCAACAGGAACACTCAAACACAGTGAATGGAGAGGAGAGAGAAACCAGCACCTTGGAAACAGTGGGGCAGAACCTGAGAGGTGAGGCCACGCCCTCTGAGACTCGAGACTCCAGCTCTCCCCCTAGGCATACCCAAGGGCACCCGTACCCATGGGGTGGGGTTGGACAACCAGTCCCAAGACGTTCACCACAGCACTCTTCCCAAGACCTCTAATCTGGCAACGACCCAAGTGTCTCTCTAAAGTATTCGAAGAGTAAACTGTGGGGCACAGTCACAGGAGGGACGAGAATGAATGAAGTACAGCTGCACTCAACGGGAGGGACCACGCTGACAAACGAAGCAGTGATGGAAAGAAGAGGCCATGACCGTGCTGTTTGGGGCTGCATTCACAGGTGGCAAAACCATACAGAAAAGCCGGGAAATCCCATTTCACACCAGTCAGGGGAGCAGCTACCCGGGGTGGGAGGACAGGAGGGTGGGAGCTGTGATGGGGCGGGGCACATACTCAAGGGGCTTTGAACTTGGCTGGTGGGCATGTGTTTGCTTTATAATCATTCATTGAACTGGTTTATATACTTTTCTAAATGTAAGTTCTATTTCACCACAAGAAAGGAAAAAACATCTAGGATAAAATACACAAAAATGTTTTTAAAACATCTTTTGGTTAATAAATCATAGATATTTTCCTTCTCTTTGTATTCTGTGTATTATCCAATTTTCTTAAAAGACTACGTATTATTCTTCAATGAGAAAGCTTTATTATAAAAAGAAATCCTTCCGAACCCTCTAGGCGTTGCTCATACTTCACTTCCTCCAGGAAGCCCTCCCTGACTACTTCACTCTCAGTCCTCTGCCCCTGTTGCTCCCATAGTTAGTTGGTTGATAAAGACTTTTCAATGGGCTGCTCTGGGAGAGGCACTGTGCCAGGAGCTGGGGCCAAAGGAAAATCAAGGCAGTCATATTCCTACTTCAGGGAGCTCACTGTCTGGCAGGTGACACAGGCATTAAAGAGACAATAAAGTAATTCTGGGGTGGGGGTTCTGTAGGCTCTTCTGGGACCTTTTAAGCATAAGCATACGCTGCCTTGCCCTGGCTGCCATTTTCTTCAGGTCACTTATCTCCCAACCAGACTGTGAGCCTTTCTGGTGGCTGTGCACGCACGTGCGCGTGCACACGTGCGCACACATGCGCACACACACACACGCACGCACACACACACGCACGCACACACGCACGCACACACGCACGCACACACCCCGCCAGCCTGGGGCAGAGCCATGCTCAGCAAAGAAGTCCTGAGTGTGTGTTGAATGAAAATTGACCCCCTCTGACCCCAAGATGTGCTGTTTTGGTGGAAAAACACCGAAATACATGGGTCAAGAGTGTTCTGCACACTTGTGTCCTCCGGGAGAAGCCCCTCATTTACATGAGAAGAAGCTGCTCCCCCCACCCCCTCAGCTTTAACCAGACCATGACAGGGAGCCCTCTGCCCCCAGAAACAGCCGAAGGGGACCCCACTGCGGAGGCTTACTTGGGCTTCTTGATGTCCGTCATCTTGGTGTGCTCTCCAAACTCCCGCTTCAGGAACTCCTCCAGGGGCCCCGACTCGTAGGGCCGCGAGCCCCGGAACACCTCGTCCTTCATGCGAAAGTACACGCCACGCATGTAGGCCATGGACTTGCCTAGGAACAAGGGGGTTGAGGTGGGGAGAGACGCGAGGGTCATGCCCGACACGGGGCCTGAGCACACGCCGGCTTGGGAACCAGAGGCCAGCAGTGACCTGAGGTGGCAGGAGACAGGGCGCTGAGTAAGCTCGGGCAACTGGGCCCCTCCTTTGGACCTTCCCACACAGGCAGATGTCCCCTTCGGCTGCCCCAGGCTCTGTACCTGCCTTTGTGTTCATAATTTTGTATTATTTTCCTTAAAGGACCCTGAATGTATATAAGCCTGTAAATCTAGGTCCACCCTGACTAGAAGGACCAGCCCTGTCCTCTGAGCCTCCAACGACAGACAGGGTCAAAGGGGCAGTTTGCACCTCACGGGACCTGCCAGGGGTATGCAAGCGGGCCAGCTGCAGAGGGGGGTTTCCGCCTCTGTGAGAGAGTGAACTGGATAATTTCTCAGATCCCTTCCATAGCTCTGGGGGTCTGAAGACCCTGGATGAAATGTTCCCTGAAGAAGGAAGTGACCCTTTCTGGAAGAGGGGCTAGGACCTCTTCCCTGCCCTCCCCCACCTGATGTCCCCAGAAGAGGTGGGCCCAGGATGGCTCTTCTCTCACTGAAGACAGGAACTGAAGACCAGAGAGGGAACCTGGGGCCTGTAGCCAGGGGAGAGAGCTGAGCGTACAGATGGAGACCTGGCCTGGCGCTGCCTGACTCACTGGGTAACCCTCTCTGGTCCTCAGTTTCCCCAGCTGTAACCTCACAAGGCTACGATGAGAATCATTAAAAAGATGTGAAAAACCAGGCAGTCTACTGTCACGATGACAAAATCCCGGCAACTTGCCAACTGCTGATCGTCTTGTCCCCAGAGCTCACGGCCGTGGCTCCCAGGCTGGCTGTGCTCATGTCTCTGCATGCCTTGGATTGCAGAGCCATGGCCTCCTCCCTCGGTGAAGGCGCCCAGATGCCTGCACTGCCCCCATCAGACGGGGGCTCCCTGGGTAGGACAATCCCTGACTTAATCCCGTGTCCCCAGCACCCAGCAGAGGCCTGGCCCTGATGCCCTGGGTGCAGGAGGGTCCTCTCCTGGTGCCTTCAGAGCCGGAGGGTGCTTGGAGAGTCTGGAATTCGACTGCACTGGGCAGGGATCACGGTCAGGGATGCCAAGGCCGAGGCCAGTTCCCACCTGAGTGGGGCGGGACCCTGTTTGGGGAGGCTCCCCCACAGGGAGTATCACACAGCCCAGACAGCTCCATGAAGGAGACACCACTTGAATTGAGACAAGCCTACCCAGATGTTTGCAGGACTCGATCCCACCCCGCCCTGCCCATTGCCCAGGGGGCTGCCCTCACTGTGCAAAATGGCCAGGGCCAGGATGCCCCCAGTACTGGTCCCTGCCACCCAGTCAAAGAGGTCCTTGGTAGCGACGCCCGAGGCCTTCTCGATGGCGATGAGGAGCTGGATGATGATCAGGCCTTTCACGCCCCCTCCATCCAGGCAGAGCAGGTGGTCATGGCTGTGGTAGGGACAGCAGTGGGAGAGAAGAAGGTCCAATCGTAGCCCAGGACTTTACGTCGACACTCTAGCTTGTGTCCCTGGGCATCGGTGCTGTGGCAGCCACATGAGCACATGAGACCAAGCCCCTGAGAGCTCCGGGCTATTGGGGACGGGCGGGGGAGGGGGGGCGGATCATAAAGGAATAAACGTGTATTTCAGTAGGTGAAAAGTACAATAAAGATACTGGAAGGTAAGGAGCAGCAGGGGGCAAGTAACTGGCCAGATGCCACATCAACTGACACCTGGGTCTGTCTCCCACTCTGGATGGGGTGCTCCCTGATGGCAGCCACCGGTTCTGGTCAGGTCTAGAGTCTCACTCCCAGGTCTGCCCTACGCAGGTTCCAGATAAAAGTCTGTTTGAATTAAACAGGGCTGGGGGGCTGGATCCTATAACTAACTGGGCAGGAATGGGTAGCAGAGCGGGGTCAGGACCCTCCACCCAGGTGGGAGCACAGCAGGGGAGGAGGGGACAGGGAGAAAGGACAGTCTACGTATGTGCCAGGAGCTGTGAGGGGTTTTTGCCAGCACTGAACCCACTTAAATGTCCCAAACCCCTTTCGAGGCGGACATGCCGTTACCCCTGTGTACGGCAGTGAAGGAACGAAGTGCAAAGGTTAGGTGACCGCCAAAGTCACATGGGTAGTGAGCGATGCTGACCCCAGGTCTGCTGACCCCTAAGTCACACCTCTCCCACATGCCCGGATCTGTCTCTCTCAGTCCTGGCCTGGCCAGCACCGCCCCCTCCTGCAGGGGTGGAGCTGGGGAGGGGGGTGG